ATTGTGATTTGACGGTAAACAAATATAATAATTATTTTAATATTTTTCACTGTTGATCTCGAGTTAGTTAAATAATTTATTGCCTGTCTATTATATTACTTTTGTGTTCTGTATTGTAATGTTAAGACATAAACATAGAGAGTGTTCCAAAAAGTTGTATTCACTTTATAATACGTAATTATTCGTCATCTGTATGGAAATCAGGACATTTGGCGTGAACAATACGGGTACCCTTATATTACCGTCGCGCTGTCAGGTCCGGTCTTTACAACACATTTCCCTGCCGATAGATAGGACGCAGACGATCTGTTGAGTACCCCTCACGACGCCAGATTTAACCACGAAGTTTTCTTCTGGTGTTACTTAAAGTGGACTGCGGTGTACAGGTCAAAGTCTTCAACATTTCATGAGCTCAAGAAAGAAATTTAACGGTCTTGAGCCATCAGCAACTTTGGTGGCCGCTTGTCAAACAGTTGCTCACCCCTGTCAACTGTGCGCATTTTGAATACCTGCAGTATATTCACTGCCATTGCTGACGTTTGTAACGATTTAGTTGATTTAAATGTATTTATTTCATTCAGTGAATGCGTGTATGCATCATTTTGGGATATCCTGTTTCTTATTATATCTCCATACATTTAATAAGATTTTATTATGATTAAAAGTTATCAGATTCAAGCTTCTGTAACCAAAGTAAGCAATATACAGTATATTTTTCGGTAGCGTAGATAACAGGTGAATTTTTGAAACTCCTAGTTGCAAACGCGCCTGGAAACGTGAAATGATGAGTGCACGCCTGCTCGTCGCAAGTTATTTCATAAGTGTCCACCTTTTTCGTGTTCCACGTGTTGCCTGCATTGAACCTTGATCCCATCCAGCGGGAAACAGGAAGAGCCTCGCATCGTGTCTGTCAACTGTTTCAAAACAGAAGCTGACAGTCGCCGTGCGGTCGCGAGCATTCCGGGCAGGCGGAGGACATTCGATAAAGTGTTTCGCCGGACTGAGCGTATCATTTCGTATCGAGCCTCGCGCTGTCGGTTAATGAATGAATGAATGAGCACGCGATATTCATTCAGTAACATACGTATATTTGTTGACCTATAACCCACGACTAAACCGTGTTCAGGTCGTGCCTCTCTTTGATGATTAACACATTTTCACGATAACACTAAAGAGCAACTTTTACAATGGCGTTCCGTTATATTGTTTTTTTACTGGAGCTGGAACCAGATAGATGCGTACACAATGGGATGTTTTGTCCCGATCCAACGAAACTTAGCCACTGTTTTACCGAGCGGTGATTAAAACTCGCTGACCATAAAACAAATACTTCACTGCCTGCTGGTTTTATGATCCATTTAGAGTTTAAAATTACTGCGAACAGGACTGCATAATAAGCCATTTTGACAAAATATGCCCGTGCTGTGATGCAGTGCGTCTCGTAGTTGTGCGGGTTGCATTCGTTGCACTATCAGCGATTAACGAGTTCAAGGTCGTCCACAATAAATGTGAAGTGTGGAGGAATTATTCTTGAAATCAAGTGTTTTTTCAGTACGCGCGTTTTATTAACTGCAATTTTCCAGTGTTCTCTGGGTACTGATGTGTGTTTCTTGGAAGGACCTCAATATTCCAAGGCAGGTTACAACATAATCCCAAATTTCGTCAAAATGCGGTGAATATTTTGTGACGTCATGTGTGCACTTTGTACAAATAACCCAGAAAGGCTATCAATGCCGGAGATAAGCACTGCACAGACGGGCGATTATTATCGTCATTATACGAACATGAATCCTCCATCTTCTGGTTCGTCAGTGACGTCAGGATTCCCTCCGTGCATCAGGGGTGGGGGAACAACTTCCCTCGCTCTTTGAGCAGTCTTTGCCATCGGACTCCGCTGACGGCAATAAGCCTGTTTATGTATTACGTATGACCCCTTTTCCATTTCTGGTGGCCATAAGCTCTTGGTTGTGTGGACAGCGCCTCGGAATTGTTGGTGTGATTCTCTGCGGTATATTTAACGACGCTGCCAGCACGTGAGACCAGACTATATAGTGTCGAATGACGGGAAAGTTAGGCCTAATGAATAATGAACTGGAATGAATAAAGAAGGAAGTAGTCGTGACTAAATTTGAGGCGCTAAACCAGCGTTTGCTTCTGAGGCCGAGATTTGAACACGCGACGCACCGAACAGGAAGTTCGAGTCTTTCGGCAGAGGCGATCGATCGATGCCGACTACCCAACCAACCGAGATACAACCCAGAACGCATTCCAAAAGCAAGTGTTTCATTTACCGCGTCACCGACTGCGTACGATGACGTCTAGGCATTACCGCACAGGGAACCCGGTCGAAAGACAGGATATCGTATCCTAAGAGATTATTCGTACTGAAATTGGCACGTGTGTTGATTTAGTGAGTCGTATGAAATTATTCGGTCAGTGTAAATAACTGGTCACCTCTTCAAACAAAACAAATATCAAAGGTTCAGTACCGTGTCCACAGCAGACCACCGCTGGACCACATGAAGTCATATGACTCTAATCCACTCGCTCTCACAGAACGTAATTACAGCTGCAACTTTCGCCTTCGCATTTCAGCCAATAGCTCTTCGTGTTTTACTACGTGCATCTGCAATCTTTTAAGGTTGTATTCCTTTAAGCTGGCGTGGAAATGTGTATTGGTCATAGTAAGGCAGTCGAATCGAGGTTAGATACATAGACCAGATAACTAAACACATTTGCGAGTTTGTTATTCTGAAATGTCTGTTGCGCTCTGTACAGATTAAACGATTTAAGGAGTTAAGACTCGTCTTGTTTTAGCGGCTTTTCAATCTGGCGTCTTTTATGTCACTTTTACAGTGCGTTTTAACCCTCTGTCGGAGGAC